TGGCTAGTGAATAGATCATTAGACATTTTTTTCTTTGGAAAGATCTGAACCAATCATGCAAGATCCTGAAAAATTACCGTAACTTTCCGCGGGTTTAATTTCTTCATGTGCAAAATGGAGACAATGACACCATTTCTACCTATTTCATAAAGATCTTGAGAGGACTCAATAAAATGATGATAAATTCTCTTATTAAATTCAAAGCATTGAGTACCTGACTGTAGAATGATGTGACTTTTGCAATAGAAAGTGGGACAACATCTAAGGTAACTAAATTCAGATCCCTCTAGGAATGGTTTCTTGGTCACCGTGGACATACTGACTGATTTTCTTATTTGACACTTGTGTTCTCACTTGGACTCTTTGTTCTTAAGCTCAACAGGTAGCCACAAATGAGGGAACCTACATGGAACACCTGGGTTTTCCTTCAGATTATCATCTGAACTGTACCACCAAAATTTTTCAAAGGGTCATCATAAATTTGGGTATAGGATTAGACACAAGAGGCGTTAAATACAAAGCTTATCACCACAAAAATGTCATGGTTGCTGGTCTTCTTTATCTGATCTTTATCTCATTTAGGAATTCCCACTAGAAAATCTCTAATAAGTCTACTTTCAGAAATTGCTTGAACATCTCCATTGACAGATTTCTCAGTCTTCTGATACCTATTGATCAGTTCTGTTGGTTTGAAAGTTCTGTTGGCTTAGAGCCTTTAACATCTATCTACCATCTTTTTCATTTGAAAAAAAAAAAAAATTCTTATGGACTGGAGCAGGTTCAGTTTGGGTTTCCATGCCAGGATGTGGGACATTTGGATACAAAAACAAGGCTGGTAGATTCTCTCACATTTTTAAGATTGGGAGAAGTAAACAATCACCATGCCTGATCTCCCAGTGTTCAGTTGAGCCTCTTTAGAGGCCTGCCTTTTGGCCTCAAAGGCAGGAAAGAGAAGCTAACTTATGTGTTGGCTACTTTTGGACCTTTTACCTTGAGGCCCATTTTCATTGTCCTTTTACTAAGGCATTCCTAAGGAAGACAATGCACAGAGCCCTGGGGCTAAGGAAGCATGGAAACTATCTAGTCCAATGATTTTGTTCCGCAGAATATCAAGCAATGACCTAGAAACTAGAAAGAAATTGCTCAAAAAAGAAGATGGTGAATTTTTGGTAATATTAGGATTAGACTAAATCTTCCAATTCCTATTCCCGGCCCACTGCTTTTTCCAATATATCTTCATTCCCAGAGAAAGGCATGTTATCTGAATCAATGTATCATAGTTGCTGGGTTAATTCTGAGCTAAGAAAACAATAGGTCACAGTTGCTTAGAGGGAATTTCCAGAAATTACCTTTATTTTCTTAAAGGCTAAATTCACTCATAGAACTCTCTGATTTCCTATCTGATCTAAAAGCCCAAACAAAGCTGCGGAAGCCAGCAGAGCCAGCAGATATTTTGTAAGGCAGCTCTACCTCTGCCTGGCATTTTGTGGGGCAGGAGAGGGGAGGGCAAAAGTATTAAATTTAGGTTTAAAAGCTCCTCAGAAATTCTTTACACACAAGAGACCAAGTTGGAGAAAAGAAGATGACTTGTGCCAAGGGGAAGAAAGAAAGAGACTAATGCCTGTGGTTTTCAAAGGTTAACAACAACAACGAAAAGCCCAAGTATTTGCACAGGGATGAATGCTCATTGGCTTTTGGCCAACAATTATACAAGAGCTTGTGCCCACATCCTGTAGCTGTGGTTTAGGGACGCTGCTCATGAGTGACTTCTTATGCTTAGTGGCAGGAAACTTTAGTCACTGATGTGTAAACTCACCTTTGGTCTGCACTTCCCACAACATGTTCTGAAGGCAGTTAGGGGGCCAGACGTTCTGATTTCCTTGCAGATACCAGTTCCCCAGAGGCTAGGGAAGAACTCCCTTTGAGGCCTTGGGAGTGACTGAGAGTCATCAATACTTATCTTCTTCTACTTGATTGTGTCAACCCCTCAGGATAATCCTATAGCCACAAGGAGGGATTGTTATATCCTCTGTAAACCTTCTCTAGCCTTAAAACCCAAGACAAAATTCAAGCTGTATTTGAATTCAGTTCTGCAGCCAGTGTGACATATGAAGAGCAAAGTCATGAGACTGCTTTGCAACCTAGAGCTTGTATTACATGTGCCGTTTTACATGCAGTGACTTTTTTATTTTTAGTAAATGTCTCACGGTCCCCCTTTTAGTAAAACCAAATGCAATTTGCAAGCCCAGTTTAATTAACTCTTGTGTTTTTAAGATATGAGAGATTGTGATGCTGTCTTATGGATGGAGAATGTGCTGGGGTCAAGCTCTCCAAACCACCAACTTGCCTCTCATGTTCTG